AAAAAAAAAAGAAGGTAATACTGGAAGAAAATAAATGACCCACAAAAGGTGGAGACATTGATTGGAAATTGTCGACTTGAACAATTCAGTAATTGAAATTAAGAACTGCCAACATATGTTTCATAAGTGATTAGATACAGCTGAAGGGAGATGCAAAGGACTGGAAGATAAAGAGAAAAAAAATTTATATGATATATATATTATATAAATTGTTTCATATAGTAGGCAGGAACCCTAAGAAGCCATCGGAGAGCTTCCTGTGAGGGCCGACACCGAGGTTTACGTTGGAGATCTCCTGGGGCTGCTGGGGGAGCGTGAGTGGGGATTGCAGACCAGTTGGTGACTCAGCAGAGTTAAAGGGAGCTACGCGATAGTGGGGATGCAAGAGATGTGGCCACGTGGAGCATGTTCTGAGTTTTGGAAGGCAGAACAGGGCAATTGGTGATGAGTAAGATGTGGAAGCAAGGAAAGGAAAGGATGGAGGGTCAACCCTCGATTTCTGGCTTCAGCCATTCAGTAAAGGATGGTGTTATTTACAGGAGAGCCCTTCCCCCATCCAGGGGGCACATTCCCCAGGGAATGCCACAAACCACAGACACTACTGACCCGCACTTTTACTATGTTTTCCCCAACAGGTACATAGGGTTACAGTTTGGATCTGAATGTTTCCCCAAAGGCCAGTGTGTGGGGAATGCCCGGTCCATTGATAGCCCACTGGACTACAGGGAGTGTCCTCTGCCCTGTGCACCCATCATGTCTTCTAATTTGTTCTTATCAGATACTTTGGCCACCGTTATGAAAAGCTAACATACCCTTCCTGTGATAAAGCTTCATTTATATATTAGCCCAGGAAGAAATTAACAATAACTAAAAAAAATAGAATAATTGTAACCATATGCAGCCATAAAAGTTATATGAATACAATTCCCCTCTGTCTCAAGATAATTTCCTGGACTCGGTCCGCCCTGCTGGTGAGAGGATCCAGGGTCCACATGAGGAGACGCAGTGAGGTCAGGGACCAGGGGTGGTGAGGTTGCCTCTGGCTGCCGCGTAACCATGACTGGAACCCAGGCACCGTGACACCTTGGCAAGTCCAACTGTCAACGGGGGACGCTACAGAGTAAGGGGCAGAGCGGTGATGATTCATGCCTCTGGCAGGATGAAGTGGCCTGGCATGAGATCCTGGGGCACGACTCAGAAT